GTATGTCCTGCCACCTGGGAGAAACAATGACATAACTGTTCTATCCTAACACTGGGTAGCAGAACAAAAGAGGTAATTTCTCATACAAGATAGCTGTATTGATAGAAGGGATAAACCAGAGTGCTGTTCTGTTATCTCTGCAATTTGTGCTTTTTGCCCTGACCCGGTGATTTCAGTTGTTCAGTCTTCATGGTTAAACCCTCTCGTTTTGTTGTCTCTGTGCTGCTAAACCACAGCAGTAATTCTGGAGCGCATGGCCAGCACTTTAAAGAAAACTTCAGTGCTTTAAAAACAAGTTCTTTTCCTTACCCTAAATGCAATGGTAGGGGACTTTATAGATGGGTAGTAGATTTTGACAGATAAGGTGACAGGCTGTGTACCTTCAGGAGGTAGTCAGTAAATAGCATTTTTATTGTAGTCAGCAATGTAACACTCAGTGTGATATTGCAGGGCACTTTAGGACTTAAAATGTGTTCTGTTCATAGGGCGTTAATTGATTTCCATTTATTTGTGTTAGAAAGACATTTAGGTTTCAGTCCTGCTACATTTTTGAGTCAGAGGCTGTACTACAAGAGCACAGTCAAATTTTCATTTGAGTGGGAAACACAGAAGTGCTTCTTCAGTGGGTGACTTCATTTTAAAATATMTGTGGTTTGAAGATGCTCTTTGGGTTTGTTTTGGGATTTAAGAATAAGCCCAGAAGCTGTGATTTAGTGAGCAGAGGAAGAGGTAATGATCACAGTAAATGTACGATAAAGTGCATACAAAAGACTTGTCACAAATTGTATTTATCACCAACCGTGTTGTAGCTGTGTGTGCTGTGTTAGGAATGTGTGTGCATGTGTGTTGCCTGGGGATCTGCCTGGGTGAAAGTTGCTTACATAAGTGTAAGTCACTGTTTTCATTACTGGTTTTACAGCAGCAAATCTGCCCACTATTTCCAGCCTATCCAGACCTCATTACACAGTGTGTCCTGTATTGTCATATATGTGAGAAGGCTTTTTAGGGGAGCAATCGGTCTGGACTCTAGTGCAATGGTTTTTTCTAATTAAATTGTCAGYGGAAGGAACATCCGGAGCAGCAGTTTTCATTTTCAATTGAAGAAAAAAAAACGTTATAAGTCTTTGTCATTTGATTAAAAAGTTACTTAACCTTTAAATTGCTATAGATGTAAAGATAGCTCTGAGTTTCCAATGTAATCGCCTCAAAGTTAAAATCAGGAAAATCTTGGTGTAATGAAACCCATATGTCATAGTGAAAGGATGCAAAACACTGGCAGAGTGGGCTGCTCTAGCAGGAGATTCTGCACCCAATCTTGTTAACCAGGACTGCTTTTGGTAATCCCTCATCTCCTCACTTGAAGGAAATCAATCTGTACTACTGAATCTTTTCAACCAGCAACACAAAATTTACTGTGGAGAGGCAGCCTGGGGACAATTGTAGTAGAAAAGGAGCCCCAGGCAACAGGGCTAAATGCGGGATTGAGGGATTGAAGTTCTAAGAGGAGATTATATTAAACCTTACTCTGTTCCCCTATCAAGTAGAGATCTCTCCTTCCCCTTTCAGCCCTAGCCTGTCCTGTCCAATACCTGCTCTTGATGTCCTTCTTCCTGGGCAGAAAACTTGATTCATAYAGGGCAGCATTCTCTGCTAATTATAACTCCCTGATACCATTTCTTGGTAYAGTGTTTTGAAAGACTCTATTCAAGCACTCAACTTTTCATTGTAACCAGTGCTGATAACATTTAATTTTTTTARTGATCTTCAGTACCCTCTTCCTTCTCCCTACTAGGCGAGATGCGTTTCTTACCAGGCTGTTGCAATYGTATCCATTGCTGATTTTTCTGTTGTATTAAATGCACAGCATAGGGAGAGCTTGTAAATTGTGACTTGACATGGAGATTCATGCTTCTGTTTCATGCTGCACAGCCTCTGTAGTACCTGCTTGCTGTACAAAGAAACCTGCTCTCAAGCCCTGTTTTCACTTGACAAGTCCCTGGCTTAAGCAGCCATTTAAAAAAAAAATCCCTAAGGTTTTCAGTACAGTTTTGTCCAACCTTTTAATTAAAAAAATCTACCTCTATCTGCTATACTACTGGCTTCTGCTGGTCCCTTGGGTAGTTGTTTAAGACGGGTTTTAGCAGCTCTGTTAGACTGCAATCATATATAAAATGTAGGACATGGCTTCTTCATTAGAAAGCTTCTACCTCACTCCAGCAAGCTCCAAAAGGCCCAATTGGAAATGATATTCCCATTATTAAGAAAACGTTTATCAGAAGCAATTCTGAACAGAAGAGTCAGTTTAATATTAGAGGCTTTTCTATGCAAAACCCAAGCTGAAGACATRCTCTGGTGCAGATGAAAGAGGAACAAAGGAGAAGAAATGGCAAGACATTTCAAAGCAGTGTCACATAATATATCTGGCCTGTGTTTACCAGGAATGCATTTAACTGTGATTCTTGGGCAGATCAGAGAGGCAGCTAAGCAGGGAAAACAAGATTGTAAACATTTGTGCAAACTTCCCCTTAGCTTGGCTGGGATTTGAATGTGGTATGAGGATGCATTTCCTGGCCATTTTCATATATTTACAAAGATGTAAGGTCCTTTCCTTGCATTTGGCATCATACCTTCAAAAATAAAGCGCTGTTGCAAGACTGAGTATGTGAGGAGAAGAGGAATACAGAATAGCAGAAGGCTGTCTCTTGCTCCTAATGGGATTTTGTAGCAGCATGTGCGAGTTTGTTTCAGAAGTCAGAAATGAACAGATGTTGGTATAAATTACCTCTGTGTCTGATGTCTTGCAAATTAAAAGCGCGGTTGGCATCACTAAACAATTTCACCAGGTTGGGGAGGGGGGGAAGCGGGCGGTGATTATTGTAGCAGGTCGGTAAGAATCTTTAAGCTGCAGCAGAACAGGATAGCGAGGATAAAGGAATGAAGAATAAAATGAGAGGTCTGTGAATTAATCAGAAATGTTAACATCTCCGATGACAAGCGAACAGGAGGGCACGTGCTCTGGAGCAACCCCCAACCCACAGTAATTTCACTCGGCGCGCAGAAGGAGTCTATTCTCTCTGCCTGATTTATAGGGTGCAGCCGCCTTTGGAGGAGCAGGATTGTCACACATTCGTATATCTCCTATATGGGACTTGCACTCGGGGGAAACTTTACATTCTATCAGCTGTAGTTTGACTTTGCACCTTCTCCATAGTAGCATTTTAAAACCATGCACTTTTGATGGTGAAATGCAGGGAGGTGTCAAGAAACTGGCTGAGAAATCTGTTTTAACTGAAACTTCTAGAAATGGGCATTTTTATTTAATGATGTTATTAACACATAACTTAGTTCCTGGCAAAATAACAGTCTGCACTCTGCCCATCCGCAGCACCTTCTACCTGCAGGTTGCCTTAGCAGTGCTTAAAGATAGAAGCTGCCTTGCAGGTGGGCAGTAAAGGTGTGGGCAAGTCAATGACTTCCCTGGTTATTCATGCTGTGAACCAGAAGCAAAACTGGGAATGAATCCCAGGTGAAGGTACCTCATAGCTGGAGCCACGAACAGTGCAGCGATGTGCTCGTCTCTGCAGCCAGCCAGAGGCAGTAACCAACACTCACTGCAGTGGCCTGTGGGCTTAGAAATCTGTGAATATCAATGCATAGTGAAGAATTTATAGTAATAATTACTATTTGAGAGGGGTCTTGTTGRTTCTGATGCCACATGGTTCAATTTGGGGTAAAGGTAATAAGTTAGATGTAATAACTTAAAGAATGTGAGGAAACCTTCTAATAGGTCAAATGTATCAAAATATTTTTACCAGAGGGTGAATATTGAGTATTTTAAGCAGAACACTTTTATTACTACTTTTCTTGCATCTAGTAATGTCAAAAGAAAACCCAATAGCAAACCCAAGTGTTGTTTTTATACTATCTGTCATTTCTGTTGCTCTTCTCAGTCTGGAGAGTTAGGAACTGAGTGATAAAAGAGAAAATGAACTCCTGTTTCCTCCTTCCAGAGTGTCTCTAGATTGGGTGTAGGAAGCGTGTATACTTGCATCAGTCCTACAGATAAAAACCTCCATGTTTTGTCATCTGCCACTCCAGCACACAACTTGTACCTTTATTTGAAGGAAACGAAGGGAAACGCCTGTGAGAAAATTGCCTTCCCTCCAGGACTGGCTCACTAATCATGCTGTCTTTGATGCATTTTGTTGCTATTGTGAGACAAAAATAGTATTAGGGCTGCTGTGCCAGCTTGTGAGCTTATGGGCTCACAAGTCAGAAATGTCCTGTGCAGAAAAGTGGCTGTGTAAACCCAGTTGCAACACAGCTACCAGAGATTGATGGTGGCGAGAGTGGGGGAGAGACTTATAAACCTTGCCTTGCTGTATTAAACACTGAAGGACTGACAGTACGGAGAGAGAGAAGACCAAAGCTCTATAAACTTTACTTTATTACACCATCCACAGAGGAACTGCGCTGAGGGAATATAAACCCTATTATATTACAGTATCTGGGGACTGGCACTGCTGAGAGAGAGAAAATGCTGTCTAATTTCTGTTGAAGATCATAGCATCCAGGGACCAATAATCCTGAAATGGAGAAAGACAGAGTTCCATAATCTCTGACGGATTATTACATCCAGGAACAATTGCTCGGAGATAGAGTGATGGTGATCTGGATTACACCCTTCGGAGATGGATAGCACGGAGGCAGAAGAGGAGATGTTGCAAGAGCTTAATGCAGTGGGAATAGAAAGTGTAGATTGTATGCAATGAGACAGCCTGTGGGAATTATTGCCGAGTTTAGGAGACTCCAGGCCTTGCCTGCATTTCTAGATTGTCAGGAATTGAAGCCAGAGTGCAGTTTTATATATTTTTAAAAAGAATCTTTTCTATTAATATAAGTGTATATCTAAATGTATTGCTTATCTCATTTAAATAYCACAAACGATCAACTCTGTCTGGCTCTTTGTTTTAATCTATTTTTTTCCCTTGTCATTTCAGCTAGAGAAATGACTCGAGGGAAATTCCTCAACATCCTAGAAAAACCCAAGAAGTAGCTGCTGCTCTGGAATTTGGACAAAAATATCCCAGCAGGGATATTCTATGTACTGTGGATCCRGATGAACCCCGGAACTTCTAAGGAGGAGAACAAATCTCTCGCTTTACATCTTCAGAAGCAAACGTGTCTGTTGCTCCCACAGCACGTCTCATACCTGGGGAGAAACATTCCGAATGCAGGCTCCAAGGATTGCTACAAATTCCGTTGGAATTTAGCCTTTATCTTGACTGTAAGATATCGAACAGGACAATTCCACCCTGCTGTGGCAAAGTTACCTGCCCTTTTTTAAATCTTTTTTTATCCATTATTCAAAGTGAACAGCCCCAGGGTCCTCTCTGAATTGCCCTCAGAGGCTTCTCCTATTTGTAACATCTAACAGATCTTTTATGATGGGGGCCAGTGTGTGCCATGATACACTGACCTTTGGTGCATCTCTTGTCCTAGATACATTGATTTCCTGTATGTAATTTCTGTGTTGAAAGATTTGAGCAGAGTTTGGGATATATGATAGATAGTTTAAGTCTTGATTCTCCAGGAGCCCATGCTTTTTGTGCAGAAATCAAGTGCCATCTGTGTATTAGAGTCCAGTCACTGCCTTGAGAGATGCAGATCTCGGAGGATCTGCAGAGGAGAATCTTCAGTCTGGTGTATTCATTTCACAGCGGTTGCATCCAGTGCTGTGTGTAGCAGGCACTTCTCACCACCGAATGGTTCTCTTGTAAAATCTAGGCTGACAGACCACACGGAGCTGGGAAGAGGTGTGAATATATTGTGATGGGAAATATCTCTCTAGACTATTTGGCCAGTGCATTAAAAAAAAACTTTTCAGTCTCCTGCAAATCTCAATTTACTACTTAAGAACCTAGGAAGAGAAGAAAGTTAGAAATAAATGAAAGGTGAAAGATTGAAAGGTAATAATGCTTTTGTTCAGAGAGCACCAAAAAATGTCAACAAGCTTGTTAGCTGCACCGCAAGGAAATCTGGTTAAACACAAGCTACACTTCTGAAAATAGCATTCCTTAGTGTTTCCCATTTAGGAATTAGGAAACAACATTACAGTTAGGAAACAGCAACCTTAAAATTTGCTTCACCTACAAAGACAGAAGTTTCTAGTAGCTGGTGTCTTCTGGCACCAARTTTTGGGTGTTATTCATCTTAGCCTCCGTCCACTCTGTCCTCCTTGGTGATGCACTTCTGTATGTTGAGCCCTGAGAGGAGATAGAGAGAATGCCAAGATACTTTATTTAAGATAAGTTTGGGTTTTTTCTCCATTTAATYTTGTTTTCTTAGGAAATGGCATTTTAAGCATTAGTAAATAGGTTCTTTTTAGCATAAAAACATAATATTGAAGCACAGGGTAGATAACATTTTGCCTTGTTTCTTTGTTTGTTTTCCCTCCATTCATTCAGAAATATCATTTTTACCATGCAGACTTTTCAAAATTTGTCATTTTCCAGATTACGATCACATGCGAGAGAGGAAGTGACTTGGAATGGTACATCATTAACACTTGGTCCTTAGAGCATTGCTTATTTTTGTACTTGCGGAGAGAGGAGACTATTTYCAGGCATGTGGGCAAAAACGAGGGAAAGATTTTTAATCAAAAACTTATGGATTTTTACTAAAATGCTTGTGGCCTTTCAATCAGCAGCCTGTGGTTGCTTGTTATCACTCCGAACTAGGCTCATTTTGGACAGCTCCTGTTAACTAAGGTTAAGCAATTAAATCCCAAATTCTAGAAAACAAATATACAAATAGCAAATATTTAGGCATGTCAGGAGTCTGATTTTTAAACTTAGTTTCCATACTTCAATTTTTACAGAAGTTTAACAGAGCATGAGAGATGAGATGGGAGAATGTGAAGAGAAGCTAAAAGTGGTAATTCAGAGACGGAGAACTTGCAARTTGGTGCAAATTGTTGATGTAGCTTTAAGTATTAAATTATACGTTCTGGATGTAATATTAAGTTTGTATATCCTATTTATAATGTAAATACACACATATATAACATTGGGATACATAGTCTGTATTACCTATGTGACTTTGTGCATATTGTAGAGGTTTGTAGATTTAACCCACTGAGAAATTTGAGATCTGAAGGAAGGAAGTTGGAGAAGATATCATAGTTTGACCTGGAAATATATGTGTATTTTCTGATATGTATAATAAATAGTAAGAGATTTTAAGCTTTTAGTAGTTCATAGTAACATTTTTAATGCCTTACTACACACAGCAGTATTTACCATCTATAGGACAGCCAGTGTGCTATTTATTAGCTTTGTACTCGTCATCTGTAGAGGTGAGTCAGTGCTCTAATTCTTTTGTGTTAATATTTGTATATATTTCTGTGTGTTAGCCAGAAGATTGTAATCTCTGTGTTACAGCTCTGTGGTTTCAAAATAAACACACAGCTCTCAGAACATTCTGGGTTTCCAGTGTAGCCCTGAGATAAAGCTGTGAWTTAGCCACCAAGAAAATAATCTTACAGACTTTTTTCACTCTTAAGATGGATAACAAGATGCTGCTCTGTGTACTGCCCACCTCAGTTTTGGGTCTGTTCATGCTCTATTCTCATCAAAAAACGAGCACTTGGCAAAATTCAACTGGAACCGAGGGTTTTCACACCATTTAAACCCCATTTCTTTCTCCATTGATGCCCATCGCTACCTGCTGTATCTGTGAAGGATGAGAAAGTCTGGGTGGCATTTGATGATAATCTTCTATATTTGGAAACAACAACAGAAAGAGTTATGACAAATGATGGGAATTAAGAATATAGTAAGATCAAAATGCAGTAATATTATATGAGCTAATGTGCTTTATAAAGCATCCATGTCAAATGTTACTGTGAGACTCTCTGAAATAAAACAAATATTTTAGTTCCTTTTAAATATCAGTCTTGCGTATATTTAGTTGCAGAAGCTGTTGTTCATTTCCGTCCGAGTATCAGATGCTTTGCCTGCTTAGCAAAAGCCTGGATTTTTAAGGTGATCTTGAAGAGAATAATACTCCATTACCCTGTGTTTTGACATTAAAAAGTGTTTCATAGCATGAAGCAAAACTGAAAAACTCAATGCTTCCTCGAGTCACCTAGAAATGACAGTATATCTATCTGTCAGCAATGGAAACCCATGAGGAACATTTTTTTACAAAGTAAAAATACTGGTGCTAGGAATGCATGCTTACCCTGTAGTATTCACTTAGAACATTCCTAAGAACTATTTGCCTTTATCTTGCTGAGGTCATTGCCTCAGTTCTTTTCCTTTTCTCAAAAGGAAGTGGTGCTCCAATGTAAGGAGTGATATGAACTGATTCTTTAAATACTCTCTTGATGGCAATATGTACAAAAGCAGGTTATTATCTGGGCAAAAGGTGCTTAAATAGGACTCCAACAACAATCTGAGATGTATAAAGTTCAGAGAATAGTTCAGCAGTTGGYGGATTCTGGTTTCGTTACGGTTTGTAGTAGAATATGAAAACTACAAAGGTCATATATGCTTTGTTGTTCTTCTCCAAGATCTCTTGAACCTCCATGGAAGAATTAAATGCAGTCTTTTAGCAGATGGGCATCGTTACTGGTAGAAGTGCAGCAGAAAGTATCAGCCCTTTTGGAACCAGGTGTGGTCAGTGGGCAATACAGCCAGGAGACTGGAGAAGCAAAACTGTCTAATCCAACTCGGAGGTAGGTAATGCTTGAACCTTTTTCTATGCTACCGATGACTCATAAAAAGGCAAGGCTAGATCAAAGGTCCATTCTACCTATAACCTTCTCTTAGATTACAAGCAGTTGTAGATATGAAGAGTTTAAGCACAAGGTTTGCGGGGAGTGATTTTGCTTGGAGTTAACTTATCCTGCAATGTTTTAAGGATTTAACTAGTAKTTGAATCTGGTCCACAGTGAACACTACCCTCCTTAACTTTGTCTAATTTCTGGTTCATCTGTATACTTGGCCTTTAAAATGCCTCTTGACAGCAAGTTGCTTTTTATTTTTTTAAAGACTTTTTTTTGTCTTAAATCTCCTTACTTAATAATTCCATTTTGAACCTTTATTTTTTAGGAACAGTAATTTTCACCACCTATTTTTGCTGTAGTTATGTATTGTGCACTATTAATGAGTTTGTGGCTTCTGTGATGTGTTCTGTGCTTCTTGTTCATCTTTCTGCAATTATGTCTTCTATTACAAGGAGCAAACAATGACCAATGACCATAATTTGTTATGGGATAAAATTCCTGCTGACTTTCAAGAACTAGAGTTTCATCGGGATAAAAGATGAACCTAAAATGATGCGGGGAAAAAAAAAAAAAAAAAGCTGAGTCTTTTGGTTTTATGTGATACTGTGATTCTTGGAATCAAAGCAATTTTAGAGATATATTGTCTTTCCAGTCCTACCCCTACATCAGTTGTTTACTTAGTTCAAAGTGGATGAGGTGAAATGCAAAATTATGAAATGGGGAATGGTCATTACTTTAAGTCTGTATAAAGATACTTGGAGTTGCCAGAAAAGTATGGATTGATCCTGCTTTCAAAGACCATAACCCAGACTCCATGTACAGTATGTGCCATGTTTACTTACATTGCACTAGAATTTTCACTATGGAGGGATCTCTTTGCATTTAGACTCTATCATCCACTGAAACTGCTGATACTTAGACTTGACCTTTTCAATCATGTCCCTTTGAGCAGAATGACTGACTCAAAGCAGCTGATGCTTGTGCAGAATAGGCGTTTTCTTGTTGGGTTTGTGTCGTTGACCTCTGGCCTGCCTGCTGATTCCTATAATACAGATCAGTGACCAGTGAAGCCGGAACGCTCCCTGCCTGTCTCTGTTATAGACACCTCAGTAGGGAACAGAAAAGAGGAAGTGGGGTGAGCTTGAAAGCGCTTACTTAATTGCTAGTAGGAAAAATGGGTAATAAGAATGACCTTGCACCTTATTTATTGACCAGATCTCTGGGGGGACAAAGTACTTGACTTGATTCTGTATCACTTGAAAGGCTGTCTCTGTGACCAATAGCTGATGAGTAGGTGTGTAATAACATAGGGTAATTAAATTTTGTGCTTCAAGGCACTTGGATGCCAGGGAGGATTCCCCTCCCACAAAAGCCAGGCTCATCTAACAACATTTTTGGTAATCACAGAAGCTTAAAGCTGATTCTGAAGCACGAGAAACTTGCTGTTTGCCACTTACCACTATAGCCCAAAATGCAATAGGTTATGAACAAAAGTCAAGAAGAGGGCTCAGAGCGTAAATGAGAAAGGGATGGACTAGCAAAGATACACAAGTAGGTTAGATACTGAGCTCTCCTGGTTCAGTGGCCTGTATTTTGTTTCCTTTTCTCTGTATTAAGGTAACTGTTATTAGTCATTCTAGTTTTCATTGATTTGTTTATCTATTGTATATCAATTATCCTAAATTGCTTTTCTAGCTAATCACCTGCCCCACTCTCTTTCTTGCACAGATTTAGCCCTGCCTGGCGCTCAGAAGTCAGATGGTACAATATAGAGCCAGGATTTATAAACACTTTTGGCAAGACTTCTTGGCCTGATTTTCAGAAGTGGTCAGTATATAATCAACTGCATTGACGTCTTAAGGAATCTGCAGGTGTGGAGTGTCCTWGATAGAATCAGTTGAAATATTTTGCTCAAAATGGACCTGTTGTCAAAAAACAATTTTCTTCTAGAAAATAGTTTTGCTGAATTGTATTTTGTCGATGATGGTTTCTTAAACAAGCATGGGGTTGAAAGTCAGAGGGAGTATAAGTCCTTCCTCAATCGTGCCCTGATCAAGGACTTTGAGCTCAGGTCACCTRTTCTTCTCTTGCCTTCTCCTGTTGGAAAATCGCACGTTCTTAGTCACTTGGTGAACATCCTTAGAAACCTGCTGTGCGATAAGCATTCCCTTCCATGGGAATTGACAGGCTGTCACTTACATACGTGCTCTTTCTAAGTTTGAACTTTGATATAGGCCCACAATGTTTCCTCAGTGAAGAAAAACACATGCCAGCCTCTGACCTACATTTCAAGTAAAGGAGACCCAAGTGAGTGTGAGTGGAGACTGAAGTCAAAAAACCCCTTTACCCAATATTCTCTTTATTCAGTGTTTCCTCTTCCACAACTGCAAAACAAACTCACTAGTTTTTGTTTTGGAATGACATAAAAGCAACTGTTTGTTTTTCACTGCATGTTTCCGAGTGGAAGCATGGATACTCGTGCGCTGCTAGTGACTGGGAAGGAGAAGACAGGTCGGTGATTAGGGCAGGAGGGCCAGGGAGAGTGTGTGCACAGGTGGGCACTGGAGATAGCGTGAAGGTCTTTGTTGGATGCCGAGCAATCCGACCTGTTCCTGTGAGCCCTGCTCTGCAGAGCTGGGCCCCAGRGCCCGAGCTGCTTTTCTCACTGTTCCTCCACTTCCCCTTTCTCGTCTAASGGCCCGAGAAGCTGCTCCCGTTGCCGCTTGTGGCGCGGGGAGCGCTGGCCGCCGCTTGTTAGAAGAATTCCCCCAAGTCAGACCTATGGTAAGAGCCGTGTGAAGCGGAAGACAATTAGGGGCTTATTAGTGTCCTGGGGAGACGTGTAACTTGTGTTGCTGGGACTTACCAAAACAGCGAGAGTCTTACCGGCAAGCTCCAGCCGAGAAAAGACTGAGGAATTGTCTCACCTAATTATGGGGAATGGACCTCTTTGTGTTTGTGATTCGGTACGGTTGTCCGATCGCTTTTCTCTGGCTGCTGGCTCAGGCCGAGCTGGAAGTGTGCTAATTAGAAGAGAAATGGACGTAGTGATCCTGTCAGCTCTTGTTACCGGCGTGGACAAAGCCGAATATTATTCTGAGGCAGTGTTTTGTGAGTGTCCCCCTTCCAGCTCTCATTAAGGGAAAGGTTGGTGGACGGGGAAGGGATTCGACCACATGGGTTGGCTAATGGAGCACAGTTACCGTTACTGTGCTAATTAACGGGCTCAGGAGGCAAATGTTTCTCCAACCAGCAGTCCCAGCAGCTGCAGCTGGTGCTTCCAAAACCCCAACCATCTCTCTGGCAAGTGAGGAAAACACTTGTATGTATGAGGGGAAGGGGGTTTACTTCAGACAAATCTATCAGACATCCAAAAGGTCAAAAGAACCACTAAAATGGTCAGCAAAGAGATCGAGAGGATGCAGCACTGCAGGAGAAGCTGGTTGAGCTGCAGCAATCCCTTCCCACTGCACATTCATGTAGACTAGAACGTGWCTTCTACACTGCCAAGGTGGGAAGCAAGCAACATGGAGAAAACTGAGGAACTGTAGGGGCCTTTAAATGCTACGAAGAAATTCTTACCTTCTCAAGGTCAGCACACTTAGAGTATGCAGTGAGAAGCAAGACAGTTGTATGTATCTGTGTGTGTGTGTGTGTGTGTATGAATATATCAAGACTTTTGCCCCAGAAAAGCAGCTCTGTTTGACACCTTCAGATAGACAAAATTTCACATACATTAAGGCAGGTGAAGGGGATGATGAGAGACAGGAAACAGTAACAAAAAATGTGTGCATTTCCATGCTATATGCCTAATGAAAGTAGAGAATGTTACTGGAGAAAAAGCAGATGAAAAAATGGAGCCAGAGCAGGTCAGTAGCATCATAACACCTGGGACAGCCTCAGCAGAATGGAAGAACAGTGAGTGTGATAAGGAGGAGCAGTGGAAGTGAATGTTTTTCATCTGTTTTGCACATAGATACTTTTGTTGATGCCTTGGTGCTTTTATAAAGCAGCATAGTAATTACACAAGTAATAGCTGCTTGATGGTTGAAAAGATACTGGAATGTATCAGTGATCAAGCCTGATTTGGGTTATGATGGCCCTTTGAAATATGCATTCACTCCTTAATTAGTGTACGTGGGC